GACATGAAGGAATAAATGAAAGTAGGATTTAGAGGTGGCAATATGCCAAGAATAGTGGCAACTGGAGAAATGTGGTCCAGGGGAAGGAAAATTGTACTGTCAGATTGGAGATCATTAATCCCACTCTTCATTTCCCTACCCGTGAGGTAGAAGCCACCAACACAGCCCATATGACAGGTGGATGAGTCCCTTGCTATAGGCCTCAAGAGGATACCCTCTCAAGGCTCTCTGGTTGGAATAAAACAAAGAAAGAGGAAGCTTCAACAGCCTAAATGCAATGTCCAGCTTCCCATGCCTGTAAGTGAGGCTCTGGCACAAGCTCATACTGTCCTTACACATCAGCCCCAAACCACCACAGAGGATCCTTCGCTCCTCACAAAATTATCCCATGACTATGGGCAACATTTAAAAGACAGAAAACAGGGCTGGGGATTTAGCTCAGTGGCACTGCTCCAGACTTGCAAGAGCAAGGTCCTGAGTTTGATCCTCATAACTGAAAAAAAAAAAAAGAAGAAAAGAAAACAAATAGCTTTACAGATGCAATAGTCTTCTTTCTTAATGCTTCTTAGGTAATTGTTTTAATTGTTAAATACAATGATTTGTATTCCTTCTCAACCCCTTACAAGGACTTTAAAGCAGCTCATGAAATACATATAACACAAAAGTATTTTTGTTTTAAAATTTAAAATCAGGATTAGAGAAAATATAAACTGGAACTGAGAGTCTGGCATAATAGGGAAGTAAATTATTGCTCATCACAGTATTCTAAGATGTTCTCCAACTTAAGCACTTGGTTTTGTGTTAATCTAGCAGTCAAAACGAAAAAAGAAAGAGAATCAGCTATTTGAGTCTTATGTCCACAGGGAGAAAATATTTCAGTTCCTCAAGGGAAACAAACCATTTCCTGGAATTCAGTTCTGCAAGAACTCCTTTACACAGGGCTTCGTATAGGAAATCATGAATAATATAATTGAGAATATTGAAAACCACACCCCTACCATAAGCTTCATGAAACTGTTCTTGGTAAAATGCCTTTAGGAAAGTCAAGGGCACACACTTCAATTCAAACCATTCTGTAAGAAATGAAGTCAATATGGACTAAGCACACATCATTCTTACAGTTCAGTTTAATTTAAGAAGCTACTTGCATTCCCTGAAGAAATGAACTTAGCCCCACCCGCAGACAGTATCTTTTTTCAATAAATATATATTTACCAAAAGAACTAAATTTATTACTCAAGTAGAGGAAATTCATTACATGAAACCTTTTCTCCTTTGCTATTTTCATGGGTTTTAAAAAATGGACTTCTATTACAATAGAATATAGAATAATATCTTCTGTTTTGAACAAGTTAATTTTAAAGTGCTAGGCAAATAATAATTTTATATAAGTGTTTACTAAAAAAAGAGGGATCCTCATTGTCTTTTCCTAGGGTATTGTTTAAAATATTTTGGAGCACTGGTTTGGTATTCATGAAGTTCCTAAGGTACTCTTTGTCATAAAAGTATCTTTTTTCTCCATCAATTTTGAAAGATAGTTCTGCAGTGTACATCAATCTGGGTTGGAGGCTGTATTCCTTTAGGACTTGAAATAATCACTCCAAGCTTTTCTTTCCTTGAGGGTTTGTGTTGAGAAGTCTGCTGTGATTCTGATGGGCTTTCCTTTGTATGTGATTTGTTTCTTTTCTCTAACTGCTTATAGAATTTTGTTCTTCTGTTGGATTTCTGGAATCTTAACTATTATCTGCCTATGTGTAGATTTTTTTTTATCACAGCTAGTTGGAGTTCTACATGCCTCATTTATCTGTATATCAAGTTCTTTTCCCCTACTTGGGAAATTTTCTGCCATTATTTCTGTGAACAGTTTTTTATGTCATCTGCACTCTCTTCTGTTTCTTCACTGACTCCAATCAGTCTTATGTTATTCTTTTTTGCATTGTCTAGCAGCTGCTGGATTGATTTCTTGTGGTCCCTTATTATTTTTAAGACATTTTTCTTTTCCTGGTCACTAATTGCAATCCTATCTTCTATGTTTGAAATTCTATCCTTGCATTGGCTCATTCTGCTATGTAAACATTCGATGGAGTTTTTAATCTCCTGGAAATCTGTTTGCTTCTGTTTTATGGATTCCATTTGTTTCCTGTGTTGGGATTCCATCATATCTCTCAGCTCCTCTATTTTTTTAATCTGTGTCCACAGTAGATTTATTAATCATGTCTTGCACTATGGGAACAATCTCTGCTATTATCTGAGAAATTATTTCCAATTTAATTTTTTCCAGATTCTCTTTTGTTGCCAGTTAGGGAGTCCAGGTGGTTGAGTATCAGATTGTTGAATCTTATTTCCCTTTGGGGTTGCCTTAGGCAATTTGGAAGTCTGGTTTGGGGACTTGTTTACATATCTTCTCATTTGAACAGATGCAGCCTGCTGTGCCTTTGTTGAGGCAACTTTTTCCTCACCCAGTGGACTTCAATTCTCAACAGGCCACCAAGCAGCCTATTCTCTGCTGCTCACCAGAACACCAATTTCTGGGTTCAGAATGGTGGCCTTCTGGATCTCTGAACTGACCTGTTATCTGGGCAGACTTTTGTCTGAGGACTGTGGAGACTTCAGATGGTATCTAGGTGTGCCTCTCATTGGGGCCTCTATGTAACCTATTGTATTTGACCAAGATATTCCCCTGTTTCCCTAAAGAGTTAAAAAAATAATACTACATTGATATATGTACACCCATGTTCATAGCAGCACAATTTGTAATAGCTAAAACTTGGAAACAGCCCAGTTGCCCATCAACTGGAGATTGGATAAAGAAAATTTGGCTTTTTCATAAAATAGAGTACTACTCAGCAATAAAAAATGAGAAATTAGAGAAATTATTAGAGAAGTAGAGAAGTTATAACTAAAAGGATGCATATTGAGGGAATAGTCCTAAGTGAAATAAATAGGACACACATTTGTAAATACTGAATACTTTCACTAGTGTGGGAAACTGAAAGCATAAATAAGGACTAAAAGGTATTATAGATAATATAAAATAGGAAGAAAATGAACAAAGGGGAAGGGAAAATGGGAGGTGTAGTGAAAAGGAAAGAAGGGAATAGAAAATGAGAAAATGATAAAAATGGAAACAAAGTCTTTGTAGATAGGGACAGAGGGAGGAGTTGAAGGGAGGGCAGGGAGATGGGCAAAAAATAAGAACCAAGATGGATTATGTAAAGGTGCAAATTTCCAACAATGAATGTCATTATACTCTATCCCTTAAATTTACCAATAAAATTAATTTTTTAAAAATACCAAATAGTTTCTCTAGTGTGAGAAACTGAAAGTATAAATAAGAACTAAAAGGTATAACAGACAATGGAAAATAAGAAGAAAAGGGCAAAGGGGAAGGAGAAATAGGAGGGGTAGGGTAAAGGAAAGAAAGGCACATAATTAATATGAGAAAATGAAAAAATGGAAATGAAGTCTTCGTAGATAGGAAAAGGTGGAGGGGTTGAAGGGAGGGCAGGGAGATGGGGGAAAATATACAAACCAAGATGAATTATGTAAAGGTGCAAATTTCCAATGATGAATGTCATTATATTGTATACCTTAAATTTACCAATAAAATTAATTTTTAAAAAAGAGGGAAATGTAGCCAGGCATAATGATGCACACCTATAATGACAGCTACTTGGGAGGCTGAGCCAGGAGGATCAGAAGTTTGAGGTCAGCCTGGCCAATTTAGTATAAAATTTTTTAAATGTTTACAAAAATGAAAAGAGCTGGGAATGTAGCTTGGTGCTCCCTGGGTTCAATCTCTAGTACCACAAAAAATAAAGAAAAGGAGGGAGGCATTTCACGTTGTTCACGTTGTTTGACAGGGGGAGTGGAGACAGGATAACATACAAATGACTAATTATAAATAGAATGAGTTTATTGAAATTCTATATCCCTCTTTTCATGACTTTCCTAAAGCAGTGCAGACTGAGTACAAGCCCTGGGCAATCATAATACGAGAAAGTGACGAGAAAAATCTGGTGGAGGGGGATTAATATGATTTCATGTAGAGGAAGACTCAAAGCCTTTGAAACACTGAGAGAAGTATCAGAGCCTCTTAAAATTTCTTGTGTTGATGGAACAGCTGGAAATTCAGAATTCATTACTACCTAGCTGGTCCTTCCTTTCAATCATCTTTCACACTTTACATTTCCATTCAAGGACTGTGTCTAATTTGTTGTTTAGTACATTGTGGGCATTCACTAATGCTCTACAACAGCAATTAAAAAAAATACTAAAAATCTTCTTCGTTATACTTACTTGTGACCACATCTCCTTGTCTTAATCTTGCAAAGTAACTTTAAAACTCGAGTGCAATTATGATAAAAAGCCAAATATATTCTGAAGAGTTTAATGAAGTGAATTTCTTAAATTTTTAAGAACAAGTATAGCCAACCTATCTGTAGCTAACTTACTTGTTTCACCAACAGCAGATGTTCGCTAATCTGACCAGGTAATTTATGAACAGGAAGTAATTATGAATCTGGTAAAAAAGGACTGGAAAGATTATGGAAAACAGAAAGTTACATCCTGAGCCAAAATCAGATCAAATCCTCTCTCCTATGATTATTTGCCTGATTTTTTGGCCCTTGGTCTCGTTTCTTCTGCACTCACCACCCACATGAGGTCTGCTGTTAAATACTTAGCAAAGTAACACAACTGGTTGAGAATAGAACTAGTCTGAGTTTGTCTAACACAGCTTCAAGAATCAAGTAACTTTTAAAGGAGGGGCTTGAACATTTTTCAGATAACTATTTTTTCCATGATTTACTTAAACTTCGTATTCTACCATAATCGTGGATTCATCAATTAAAAAAAAAATAACAAATGCTTGCACACAAACTAAATTCTGTTTCAAAGCCACTTCCTCATAATCTGTAGTGCCATCTAGTTTCCATGTGGAAGTTTTCCAGCAGTCATTCAGGGGCCACCTCTCCAGGTGTCCACCCAAGCGAACCTACCCGCTTGCTGCTCTCCTCTTCCTGAGCCTTTCTGAATTCATGCTCAAAGGAGCAGTCCAGCTCGCTGAAGAGGGTCACCTCCTCACAGTTCTTCAGGAATCTCGTGGGGGTCGGAGTCTGATCTGAAAACAGAGGCCCAGGGATCATGAATGGCTTTCCTCCAAGCCAGTGGCAAGCATGTGCTAAGTTCATTAATACGCTCCCTGACGTTAAAAGATGCCTACCAGCCTTCCACAATGACGATGTGTAAGAAAATAAAACCGTAAACTCCAAAGCAGGAAAAACTATGATGCCTGCAATATGTGAGGGCTTTCCACAGCTCTCTCTGGAGAACCTCAGGAGATCTCACTTTCTATCTATCTGGAGTCCATATCATTTGCACACACATTGCAACATGCGGAATGACCTTTCTTTATTAAAAACTGGGAAAAAATGATTTAGTTGAAATTAAGCCAAAAAATCATCTCTGCCAATATTAAGACTAACTTCAGGGGGCTGGAAAGAAAAAGACTTTCTAAATTTTTATAACAAACAAAAGGAAACAAACAAGCATGTTAATTCCTTTTTCTTAATGGAGAAAGAAAATTCAGCAATTCTATCCCATCCTGGGGACCACAGACGGATGGTAAAAGTTTCCAAGTCAAACACATTCAGCTTCCATCCTTTAAAAATATCATTATTAATTTTATTTTCCTTTGCTACAGCCAAAAGAATGTTCTGAAAATGCTCTTCAAAAGGAAAAGTATTTCTTTCATATTCTTAACTTTGTAGAGCACTTACTACTGGAGTTGCTGAAGCTATTATCGTGGTTTAATATTTATGCAGCCTTTGCAGTTTATCTTTTCACACATGTTCTCTGGAAACTAATCTCAAAGATCCTAGAAAGTAAGTAGAGTAGAATTACACCCTTGTGGTCACTAAGGAAAGTCATGTTCCTTGGTAAAAGTGCACTTGAGTTGACACAAAAAACTGCCTTTTCTCAGAAACAGAAGATATAAGAACCAGAATGGACCATGGAAAGAAACATAGCCATGCTGGTATTTCTTTTGCAAGTGTGGACAACTGAGACCCAGAATGACTAAAGATCTTGCTCAAGGTTTCTTGGTGACACCGGGATCACAACCAAAGCCTCGTTTCTATTTCCACTGTATACATGTACGGTCCCCACCTAAGCCTACGGCAGACACTGGCAAATTGCTTGCGGCATCTGTCCCACTGACCTGCACTCCAACTCAAGATCTCTTTCTGCACGGTTCTCTAAGCCACTGCTATCAGCCAACTGAAAAGTTTTCTTGATCTGAAATGTATTTGCCATTCCTGTGCTCTACAAATGTTTGTTACAATAAACTAGAATTGTGTTTACTTTTATAAATCATTCAGAGAGTGGTTAATCTCAGTAAATCAGTAAATATCAACGAGATCCAAAGAATATCTTAACATCTGTGAAGCAGAAAATAGTTGGTTATCCCCACTGAATTAGCTCTTTTGAGGCAATGTCTCTCAATTCGCTGCAAGAAAAAGACATTAAGCCTCTAAATGGCTGAAGTGGATTCCAGTGCAGCAGTCTCATCTGCATTCATCCCTTCCCTCACCTGACCCCGAGACACTGAGCTCTCCTGGTAGTGTGCAGAAAGCCCACCGTGGATAACCATACACTAAGTATTATTTATAAGAGATAGGTGAATGAGTTTTGTTGAAAATGATTTTATGATTAGTACTTTCGTTTATTAAGATGCTCATATATACACTTAAATGTCCAATATATATGCATATAATTATTTTGTGTTTATAGAAGACAAAATTAGTACATATGCCAAACTTTGTAGTTTACAAACATTTTTATCAACATTATCTAGAATCTGGATCTCACACATTTCTATCAGAAAAATAAGGTGTATATATAGGTGCATACACACACACACATATATGGGAAATTAAGTTTCTTTTCACATGATCACACAATTTATAACCATCTTACCACTACTACACTTCCCTTACCTTCATACATGACCCCTTTTCAATCCAAATCCAGTATTTTGCCCTTCCAGATGGCTCTGTTATGTGTGTAAAGCACAATTCTGACAGAAATCTAGATTTGAAAATAGCACGATTTGGGGGAAGTTACCTATATTCTCTGGACTTCATATTTCTCATCTTTCAAGAAAAATTCTAAAGTTTTAGGATTCTATAAATTCTAAAATCACCACTATCGTAGGTCAGCTTCAAACATCAGTATTCATAAATCAAACAAACAAATATAGGACTATTTAAAGCACAGTCAAATAGGAACATCAGTAACAGCTGGAACTCATAATTAGGTTAGCGGTAAAGTCTAGATAAAGAGATAAAAGAGATTTCTGGATAAGGGTAAATAAGTTCTGAGATGTATGTATGTTTCTTTCTGTGTGCATATATATTCTTCTTTGTCTTGGATGCTTATTTTATGCCAGGTGTAGTGCTAAGAGCTTTGCATACACCCTCTCATTAATTTTCATACCAATCCTAATAGGTAAAAATTATTTGCCATATTTTATTTATGAGGAAGTTGAGTCATACCTTGGGCTTAAGAAACTGAATCACATAATTTTTCTGATAAATTACCAGTTACAATAACTGGTAATCCTAACAACTCTTGGGCCTTTTAAAATGGAACCATTCTTGGAACCATTTAGATCCCTCATACAGAAGAACTGCATCACAGGTCTCCCAACTCTCTATGGCCTTACAAGAATGTTTCTGAGAAAATACCACTTAACAGAAATGAGAGTAGATCACTTGACATCTGCAGGGATTTAGTTTTCCAGGTTTAAATTTTGCTCCTCTTTGCTTCTTTTTTTAGAGACTAAAAAGTTGATGGCCATAGTTTAAGGCAGAGGGAAAGTCATCACTGTATCCTCCAGGAGACTCCTAACCTTTAGAGTAGTTGGGTCCATGACACTAAGGGCAGGCTGGCTGGGAGATGGGCCAGGTTCCACACAAAGTGGAGATATGTTTCTCACCTGCTCTAAAGCAAAATGATTCCTGGGTGTCAGCACATACTACATTCGTGAACAAAGGAGGTGGAAGAATGGCACAGGAGGTAACAGTGTCCACCGTCTTAGGCCCTTTCAGCAATAGGAAACAACAGCCATGGGTCAAGGGGAGCCAAGAGTAGCAGAGATAGCGGCTTCCCTCCCACCCTCAGATCAGAAGGCCCAGAAGATGTCTCTACAGTGGTTACCAAATGCAACTTTTTTATTTTCTAGATGGTATTTTAAAAATCCAAGACTCAAGTGAAATTAATAAATCACACATGTGTAAATACCGAACAGTTTCTCTGGTGTGAAAAACTAAAAGTGTAAATAAGGATCAAAATGTATAATTGATATTGTGTAATAGGAAGAAAAGGTCTAAAGGAGAAGAGGAAGTGGGAGGGGTAGGGGAAAGGGAAAAAGGGAAAAGAAGAAAATATGTGAAAAGGACAAACATGGAAACAATGTCTTTGTAAAAAGGAAAGAGTAGAGGGGCTGAAGGGAGGCCTGGGGAATGGGGGAAGATAAGAACCAAGATAAGCCATGTAAAGGTACAAGATCCCAATGATGAATATAACTGTATTGTGTACCTAAAATGTACCAATAAACTTAATAAAGATTAAAAAAATCCAAGTAGATGTTTACATCTACATTTGGAATATACAAGGCTCACTGTTTCTAATTTTTCATTCACTTCTTGTGAATGAGATATTCTTTCCAGTTACAACAGCAACCCGAAAAGGAAGCTTAACTTATGGTTTATCATTGGATTAATATGTCTTTGATCTCATGTAGTACCAGTTCCAAATTAGCCAGGAAATCTGCAAATGTTCAAAACAGGATAGCTAAATCTATCACCTGCTTAAATAAAAGAGGCAGAGTTTCTCAGTACCATGAATGCTTTCATCAAATTACTGTTCCTACTAAGTTGGACCTGAAGTTAGTGAGTAAAGTCCATGGCCAAAAATTAAAATGATTGTAAACCATGCCTTACTGAGTTCCAAGAGCATGCACCAGGCAGCTAGAGCATCATTAATTGCCATATGCTGAATAATAATGTATCCTGAATAATGTCCAAGATGTGTTAGTTCAACAGTGATAGGAGACACCAAGGACTTACAGGAACTGGTTTCAACAGAAACTCTGAACTGAGATAATTGTTCAAGGCCTAATGCTCACCATTTTTAGCGCTTCCGTTTCAGTGGGGAATAGCTGAATGAGAGAAAGGGATAACCCTGAATCTCAGACTAACCTAGGAGTAAATAACTCTTTGAGTTTGAACTTTGCCTGAGTTGAAAAGTTTTTGTTATTTTACACATCAGACTAGTACTGCATAAACACCTTCATGTTACCCTTTCAGAGTTTACAAATAAAACATCAGGGTTTCCAGGAGTCCCAAGTACTGGGGACAAGCATAAGTAGAAAATCTTACCCACTTCTCTTACTGTCACATATGTCCTCAGGGAGTTCTTCACCAATTGAACAAGAAAGATTGGTACCAAATAAAGAGTGAAATACTGTCATTTGCTCCAAAATGGATGGGCCTGGAGAACATTAGGCTAAATGAAAGAAGTCAGGAACAGAAAGCCAAATATTGTATATTCTCATTTATATATGGAAGCGAAACATATTAATCTCATACAAGTAGGGAGTAGAATACTGGTTACTGGAGGCTAGGCAGGAAGAGGAAGGGGGATGGAGAGAGGATAGTTTACAGGCTTTGGAGTGTAGGTAGATAGAAGGAATAATCCCTAATGTTCTATGGCACAGTAGAATAAGTAAAAGTGATGACAATTAATATTTCCAAACACCTAGTAGAGAGGATTTTTAAAGTTCTCTACACAAAGAAATGATACCCGGATCTTATCATTACACGTTGTATATATGTATCGATATATCACACTGTTCTCCATAAATATATACACTTACATATCAATTAAAAAGAAAAAAGTAATTAAAAACAGATTGGCACCAAAAGGGATTTTTAAAATTTCTTTGCAAGTCTGGCACATTTCAGTTTCTGGTTCCCTTGTTAGGTCTGCTTCCTGAACAAGAGGAGCAGCAATTTCTCTTCACAGAATTGCTGCCTTTGTAAAAGCTAGGGAAACAAC